TAATTTTGGTTGGAACAGCAAAGAGTATCTTGTGTCATTCATGGCTAAGTTTAGTTTTACATTCAAAACACTGAGGTTTGTTTATTTTTATAGTTTAACTCATTTAATATTTTTACACAACTGTACATCGTGTTTGCAATGATAGTTGTTATGTATTAACATAGTTCCTATGTGTAAATTGACTAACAATTATCATGTTTGATACCCGTGTAACGACATGCAATCCATTTTCTATGACCGGTCAAATGTATGCCCTAGCGGCGATGTCTATAACCGTCAAGGCTTAACAACAATAAAGAGCAGACATAGAAGAGACTCTTTCTACAAACCCTACAATAAACGGGTTTATACAAGATTTTGTGAACCCTACTTTGGAGAATGAGGACTTCTGAATACAAAACTTTAAAACCTAATGATTTAACCAAGACTATAAAACTGTATTTTAAAGTAGGAATTTATTCACATTTATATGTATTTAGTACCTACATACAATGTACCTCATTAAACAATAATAATATTTTCACAATATCAGTTGTCTCCACTGGAAATCACTTTCTAAAAAATCAACCAGAAGGCTGTGTCAAATCTTACTTTTGTAATCTAACAATTACAACTTGTCTGTACTTTTTTTTACATCTATCATACCCCTCCAATCCTTTGCATGTTGTTTCATGGTGTGGGAGCTAGGAGATGGAGATGGAGACTGAGGCCCAATGTCAGGGATGAACCCTACCTTGATGCACCTCATTTTGCATAGTCTTCTATTCTTCCCCTCTCCTTTTCCTTCTCTTCTGCAACACCTATCATTCACTTCCTAAGGTGTGAGAGCCATGTTGAAAGGATGAAAGGCTGACTGTGTGACAGCCATGAACGGCCTCAAGGAGCCATGGCCCCAGTATTCCTAGTTTATTTGTATAGTCCTCAAGGAGACTCTGAGGGGAGGGCCATTTCCCTCCCCAACATACACCAGGCCAGTAATGAAGATTTTGCAAAGAGGTTGCCCCTTTATCAATTAGCCCCACTAATTTTAATTCCCAGGTTCCCCTGACACCAGGCTCTCCTTTGACAAAAAATTCTGAATACTTCTAAATGCCTATGAACACCTTAGTACAGTCCAAATCATCCACCATGATCATTACTGCCTCCTCTCCCAACAATTGCTGCTCCATCTCCTCCTCCCCCACTACTTTTGATCCACTAAACCCTCATCCCCTATTACTTTCTCAGCAGCTTTATTTATCCTCTCTGCAGTACTACTTCACTCAATGCTACTCCTTATTCCAAAAGGCTACGTCCTACTACCCCTACCTCTACAAATATTTTGAGTACTCTGTTTAGCCCAGCCAAATGGGATTGATTTTCTGTGATCCCCTCTACTTCCCCTTACTCTGACAACACTCTCCACTTACAGAAATACCTTCAAAAAACATCTGAATCCCATGCTACAGCATTATCAACCCTAACCGACTTCACAAACACATTCCTACCCAGCCTTATCCCTGCCTCAAAACTTGTACTGGATCTGTCTCCATCTCCCTGACAAACTGCCCTTTCTACAACAAGGATTGGTCAGACTGAGAAGACTTACTCACCTGCAATATGGAATATGATGCAGTATCAGTACAATGCTACACCATTATCCCTAATGGCCGCCATAAGTCCTCCACCAAATATTGCCAAGATTACTTTCTATAGACATGACCTCCCCCTGTCAATGTTGGAATTGTTGCATCTGTTGGCAAACACTGCCACTCCACAGCCCAATGCCCCTCTATGTGCCCAACCTGCTCATCATCGATCAAACTGTTCAGCACAGTCGTGTATATGTGCCAATGATGCATTTTATTGGGGCTAACCTACCTACAAATATGAGAGTGAGGTGGCAACTCTCAGATTCAAACTTGGCCTCACTTTACGTTAGGCCAGACAGGAAGCATATTAACGAGGTTTTTCTCTTGCTCCCTACTACAGCATGCCCTTCACTCCACCCCTCCCCCTTCCTCCCAAGATTTTTTTTTTTTTTTTTTTTTTGCATATCCAGACACCCCAATCTCTATCACTGCCGACACCTATGCCTCTACCTTCTCACTATATCCATAGCAAACAATCTAAATGTTCTATCCCATCTCCTACCTCACCCTCTCCTTCACCTACTTCTTCCTCTACCCCTCATATGCCTCTATAACTGTAACCCTTTGTCACAACCCTCTTACTTGGATTCTCTCCCTCTTGACATTTCTCCTGAAACTGTGATCTAATCACCCTTGATCCCCCTTTCTCCTTTTGCTAATCCCTAACTTACCCTACTGACATCCTTGCATCCCACATTGTTTCCTTTGACAACTTTGATCTAATCACCCTTGTTAATCCCTACCTTAGCACATTTATTCACTCTCTCTACCCTCATCCTACTTTGCCCCTTTCAATGCCATTCTATACTGAACTGCTATATGACTTTCGACAAGAAGCACATTTAATCAACTATCCCCCTCTTTACTCTTTTCACTAACACATCTTTCTACATTACCTTTGATGTCAATCACATTTATATTTTGTAACTATTAACCATTCTATCTAGCATAGCCAATGACTTTCGACAAGAAGCACATTTAATCAACTATCTCCCTCTTTACCCTTTTCACTAACACATCTTTCTAGATGACCTTTGATGTCAATCACATTTATATTTTGTAACTATTAACCATTCTATCTAGCATAGCCAATCCTCAGATTTACTATCAATCTGACAATAACTACCTGTTGTTGTCCTGTTCTTTATATGTATCAGAACCAACCAACCAAGCACACTGAATAAGAATCACGGAAAACATAAAATGACTGCTCTCTTTGCTCTTGGTTAAAGAGGCCTACTCTGAGGGTCTACTTCTCCTGTGCATTACCTGATGAGACTTCATCTACTGTCAACACCTATCATATTTGGATTAAGCAGTTTTAATTGCAATCATAATTGGTAGGAACAGAAAGGATCTCTACCTAAAAACATTAAGAACCACTAACACCGTAGGCATAAGATCTGGACCTGAAAATAGCCCAGAATGTGCAAGTGACTAGTAATATAAAAAGGATTACATACATACAATATAAAGAATTATGCCAAGTTTTGCAGTTAAGCACTCGTGGCATATTTCAAGCAAGTATTAAAACCCAGAGTTGAAGTGTAGGTAACAGTCAAACCTAACAACTGGTTTGAAGCAAATATCAATACAAAAAAGTTAATGTCATAATTGCGAGACCATTTTGATCTTCGTAGATGCGTACCTGAACCTTTCTGGCTACAACAACTTGTGAGGAATTAGGGTGTAGCGCTGTTGCACCCTCGCCAAAATATCAGTTGTCGGCCTATGATATTGACTTCTGTGCATTCCTCTGCCATTTTTTTTTTTCTTTTCTTAATTTTTTTTTTTTTTTTTTTTTTTTTTTTTAACACTGCATTATACTACACTACACACCACTCTTACTCCCACTTTCATTCATTTATTCTTACTCTATTCTTACTGATACTCCAGTCTCTCAAAAACAAATGATAATGAGAGCAAAGGTACCAACTAAATTATGTATGAAATTTAATACATATTTTTTTTACAGAGGAATATGCATGTGTAAGTACATTTAAGTACTTGTGTATATTTGTGTGCTTTGTACATTTGCCCCCTCAATCCCTTGCTCGTTGCTGTTGGGAGGAGGGGGCTTAGGAGACGGATATTGAGGCCCAATGTAGGCCCAATGCATGGTCCTTTTTCCCCCTTTCCTTTTCCTTCTCTTCTTCATCCCCTTCCTCTGTCCACATCCTAAATTGTGAGAGCTGTGCTAAAAGGATGAAAGGCTGGCTTTGTGTCAGTCCTGGACTCTATTTGCTATCCCTTTTTTATCCTTTTCACTATCAGACTACACACAGTGCTCTCCCTTTGACATCTTACATATTTTGGCCTAATCATTAACTCATTTTTAACCTTTAACTTCAATACTTTATCATAGTGCTGTAAGACCTTTCCTTACCTGGGGATTTGCCCCCAAGCTCACCTTATCACTAAATCTTGAATACACCACTTATGACCTTAAATGTTATATTTCAGAAATTTTTCAAGTGTTGTACATTTGGGTATGTGTGTATGCGTGTATATGTAATAATATATACCATACATTCTTACCTTGGCAATTTCCTTTACAGCAAAGACAGAAGCAACACCAAGGCCAAATGTAAGAAAATATGGCAAGTACTTTAAGTTGGGAGTTGCTCGTTCCTTGAGCATGTTGGAGAGGAACTTCATGTTGCTCTCACTGTATGGTGGGTAACGCTTGCTGTGAAAAAGAAATAAGGCATAAATTAAAAATGGGTTAGTTCACATTATAAATAATATAAAGGACTGAAAAATCAGTCCACTTGAGTCCTGGCATTGTAATACCTAAGAGATATCAAAACCAAATGCATACCTTTTTGGTTGGTTTAACTAAAGTGAAAACATAGAAAATCAGAAGATAGTTATTTCTTAGGTATAATGACCATGCCATTTGGGAATAATCACGGTTTCCCTCCAGTTTATACTTGTCACAGTTGGTAAAATGCAGTCTATTAACAAAAATCATTATATTACACAAATTCTTTTTAAACAGTATGAAAAACAGCACTTTTTAGAGTGAAGGTGAAAAATGAATTTTTTTGGCAATTGTACTAACTAGTAACAACCTTTAATATTCCTAATCCACTCATAACTATGGTATATTATAAAGACCTGTCCTGGAAGGAAAAATAATTACAATGCTAGTTCAAATTTAAACAACTCAGTCTAGTCAATTAGGAAACTCTCTCAACCAAGCCTTGCTAGGAATAAACAAACTGAAAATTCGCAAAGAAATTACTCACGCTCCAATAACATCGGCAATCTTGTTGTAGTTCCGAATAAGGCAGGATTTACGGTGAGTAAAAGTGTCGTAGGAAGCTTTGCCATGATAAGCTCCCATTCACTGTTTCCAATGCCACCAAAGGTAGGTCATGAACTGAAAACATAAGAAAATCAAATGTTAGCAAGTATATATACTCACTAAAAATGTGTTCGAAATCTTATAACACTGATACTGTCCTGAGACTGAGATTGAAATATGTTATGCAGTATTAAAATTCTGAACTTTAATATCTTGTAAACTTTAGGTTACAGACCTGCTTGGTATATGAAGTGGTTAGTTAATTAAAGCAACTTTACAGTAATCAAAAAAATGTATTGTATTCACTGAACAATCTGGTGAAATAATAAGAATGACAAAAAATGTGTATCTTGATAAATCAAATTAATAAATTAAAGCTGTTATAATAATAAAAAACTGAACCACTGAATTCACAAAACACACCACAAAAAATCTAAGTTGCAGCATTCCAAATATTAGGTAAAATGTCCAAAAAACACTGCAAAAGCAAACAACAAAAATATGAATCCAAAGTAGTCCTTTATACTTGCTTACAGTACTTATATCTATTAAATATGCATGCATTCGATGAAAATCATGCAACATCATAACAGGAAGCAAGACATTCCACACAAACAATCAATAACACAATAAAATCTAATGACACACATATCTATATATGGTAACCCCCTTCACTGACATGCCTTTATAGGCTGGTTAACCTGGTAAGTGTCACACTCTGTGACCGCTGGCGTTTTGGAGCGTCACCCTCCCCGTCTGCCTTCCTCCTACCCACCCGAGCCCCTCCTCCATCTCCCTCCTCTCCCTGTTCTCCTCTCTCCCGCCATCCCCCTCGTCCCCCAACTTCCTTTTCTCACATCTCCCCCATTTCCCTCTTTCCCATATCACACCTCTCCCTCTTCTCCCTCCTCCCATTTTCCCTTTCCTTTTCTCAAAAGCACGCAGGCAGGGGGGAGGGGGGACAGAAAACTACATGACACGTTGGTGATGCTTAACAGGTTAATGGTTGAAACAATTAAATGTGCTAGACATTTATGATCATACAGCATTATGATAAAGTACTGTGGAAGGTTAAAAAGGGGTAAAAATAAGTTAACAAATAGGATAAAATGTGTTAGATTTCAAAGGTTAAAGAGCACTATAGGATAGTATGGTAGTGAAAAGGGTACAGAGGGGGAGCAAATGCAGTAAGGCAGGGATTAGTAAAAGAGGAAGGGGTTAAAGGTGTGGGCAATTGGATGAAATGGAGCGTATCTGTCTCTGGGAACAATCAACATGTATACAGGTAGGAATGGGTGTTGGAGAAGTACAAGGAGAATAATCCAGGGAATCAGATAAGAGACTTGGGGAAAGTGATGAAGTATCAGTAAGAATGTCAGGAGGGGAAGGATCCAGAGAAGGACATTGTTGTGACATAAGGGAGTCACGTGAGCATCCAGGTGGGAGCGGTAAGGATTATGGGGAAAGACCAGGGAATGGTGCACATGGAGAAGGGGAGCATAGGATCTGTAGGGAGAATGGTAGGAAGAGAAAACAGGGGAACAGGGTAACAGTATGATTTGACATGGTGGGACACTTCACCAGTATAAATTTAATGGGGGAAGTTTTATCTATGGATGGTAATCTTGGCGATAATAACAATAACAATATTAATAAAATAACAATAATAATAATAAAATAATAATAACAATAACAATACTAATATTGCTAATAATAATGATAAAAAAATATTAATGATAGTAATAATAAAATAATAATAATAATAATATCATTAATATTTTTTTATCATTATTATTAGCAATATTAGTATTGTTATTGTTATTATTATTTTATTATTACTACTACTACTACTACTACTAATAATAATAATAATAAAATACTCAGCTATAAAAATAACCATAATACTAAAACTAATAATAATAAAATGAAAAAATAAACAAGATCATAATCTTAATAGAAATAATAATAATAAATATAATTATAATACAACAATCATAATAAAAACACTAATGACAATAATAACTATTATAATAATTTCAATAAATAACAATAATGATAAAATAACAATAATGATAACTATAATCAAAGATAATGTTAATAATGGAAAAAAATAATTTTAACAATAATAATAGTAACAATAAAACAATATTAATAATATGTCAAACTGATAAACAAGTGATTCAACTGTCAATGATTTACACTAGATACCACAATCACATATAAACAACAGCAGCTGCATAATACAGTTAATGCTGCTTTAATAGCTTTTCCTAAAATATCTAACATCCAACAGAAGAAGCTTTAGTTGGTCATTCCACAGCAAAAATTCAACATAAAAAGCTTTTAGACAATCACTCCACAATTGAAAATTCATAAAAAAAAGCTTTAGCTTGTCACTTCAAGATGCAGATACCCTTAAAACTTTTTTACCTGCAGCATGGAATACCACATCATTGACAGTACAGCCACCATAAGGCACTTGTTCCATGAAAACCTCTACTAGGTCTTTACTGTTTGAGAATACATACAGAGCCAACGGCTTCTCTCTATAAGGAAAGAGGAATATTTATATAAAAAACCATATGATCAAAGTACAGCCAAAATGTATTACAAGGGCAAGTCTTCTAAATATTGTACAGTCTCTGCAGATTCATTTGTGCTTTCCTTGTACTGCATGAATGGAGGATTATATGAACATAAGTACAAGATACTGAAATGATATCTCCACTACTTACAATGCTGTTAAACAAATGCAATATTTTTTGTGCTTATTCAGGTTCAGTCAAAAATTCATACTGGCACTGTTATCACCCTGAATTGAAATCACATTTGACTAATAAATGAGCATGTAGGTCATCAAATACTAACCAAAGCTAATAGAAAAGAAAGGAGAGTATTCAATTCATGTTGAGTAAACATATATACTCAATATACATTTTTCTACAAACAGTTATGGAAGGGAAGATGATAAAACTCTTCTATGTTGTCTACATAGTCAGCACATATGGGATTCCAATTTAATGTCTATCCCAGTCCTAAATGAGTAATTTGTCATAAGACCTGCTTGTTCACTTGCTTCATCATGTACACTCACCAACCATAAAAAAGTATACAACTACTTTCGACCCTGCGATGAGGCATGGGGCGTTTCTGGACAATGGCTCAGCTAAACAATGACAGACATTTCGTGGTTGAATTATCGTCATTGTGTTGTATTAAAATGCATGATATATTTAAATGAATAATTGCATCTTTCGTCAGTTAAGAATCTAGTCCATATCAGCGTCCTCTTTAATGCGACACAGTGACTATACTTCAACCACTAAATACCTGGAGGGTTCAGTAACGATCAAATGTCTTTTAATGAATAGAAGTTATAAATCTGTCTTACCCAACACAAAAAGTGTGGAATCGAGCAGATGTTTGAAACAGAATTCAAAACATGTTATAGAAAAGTTTTGACCACGATTATTCATTAGAGTACGTTTGTTGTCCGTCATAGTTTGGCTGAGCCGTCGCCCAGAAACACTCCATGTCTCATCACAGGGTTGACTTAGGTGGTATACTTATGGTTGGTGAGTGTACATTATATTTATGTAAAGAGCCCTCTATCCCCCAAAAAGTGACACAACTAAATATAATATAATTAATAAACAAAGAAAATAACAATACCTGCATATATGATTCCACAAAAATTTAAAACATGTTTCACTTGAAAAAAAATGCTTGTAACAGGTGAGTCCAAGCTGAGAAAAAATTCTCATCTATTTTGGTGTTTTATGATAATTCTAATTAATAAATGAATTTGACCATTTTCCTACTATATTAAATTTCAAGAGAATTCTCATAGTGATTTCAATTGTATTTTGGAAACATTCATATTGGCTAAGATGCTGAGGCATCATGTACTGGGTCAGCAAGAGGTGGCAAAATGTCTGACAGTTGGTAAGGGTGTGCCTGCATATTTTTTTCTCAAGGTCTTGGGTAACACTCTCCTTAAGTGTTCCACTAGAAAGCCAAATTTCAGGAAAGAGTGAAACCTTTGTGACCTTGAAATAGGGACTAACTCCTAAGGAAAGTGGTAAGTGTGTGATAAGTAATAATTGACACCTAGTTAATTAAGAACTTCTGGAGCAACTCATGTGTAAAAAAAAATCATACATTGCAGACAATGTAAGTGCACACTTGGTTAACCCACTCATGACAGGTGTCACAAATATGAGACACCCAGAAAAGTAAACATTATTGGTCATCCCACCAGTGCGATGCTAGATCGGAGCTTGCGCTTTGATTTTGTCACCTATGGCGAGTGGCCCGCAGGCAGGTTCCAGACTCGCCTGCACGCCGATTTTGAAGCTGCCCGAAAATTATCATTTTTAGCTTGAAAATGTACCACTAGTCCTGCTAGTGGTTTAAGCAATCTTCTGCAACATTTTTATCATTTCTCTCATCTATTCATTCCTTCATACTCTCCATTCATTATCTTTATCTTTCTTCATCAATTCATTTAGCTCTCTTTCTCTTTACTTTATCATTTATTAATCTATTTATTCACTCACTTGTTCACTTTCTCTCGATTTCACTTGTTATAATTGCCTTTTGCATTCACTTTTAGATCATCTTAATATTTTGAAACATTTGGAATTCAAATTTTGTTCTGCAGCCAAGCAAACTTCAGAGGCAGTTTCAGCCAAACTCTTTGTAAGATTAAGTCCATTTGTTGATAACAATTATCAATTTATACAAAAGAATAAATCTTGCTAAATTAACCATGGGACTGGTTATCCCTGCAATCCTTCAGACAGCTACACACTTGAAACGGATATTAAGATTTACAATTAATCCAGAATGGGGCTGCTGGTTTAAGTGGGGAGACAGACTACTTAAAACCTCATTAGAAATCTCCCTGGTCTAACAACCTCTTCAAGCCAGTATTCTAGCTTATGGCAGCACGTTGATTGACTTGGATTGACTTGGCATCTAGCACTGACAGAGTGAGGTAATAGGAAACCAGCCTACCCACAACACTTATGGAAGTGTTATCAGATGTAAAGCCCTACGACTATTTTAATGAAAAGGTATCTATTCCATCTGTGACTGTTCTATGTCTATATACAACTACTTACATATATGTTCTATAAAACACATAATTCATGGTAATTCAAGAAGAAGCCATACTTTTAAAAAATGTACATTCTGCAAACATATTACATAACTAGTAAACTTCTCATTAAATTCTATATATACTACCTAACACATAAATTCACTTTAGACACCCAGAGGTAGCCCCTTTTATGAATATCATTCATTAACAGATCAACACTGAGAGCAGATTTTAGTACTCACCAAACAAAATAACATAATTAGAGCAAAAAAACATTTGAATGTTATCATTGTAATACTCTACCATACTAAATACTGGCTATTCATAAATCAGGCCAAATATTGCTAAAGTTATTAGTCCTCACACAATAACATCATCCCTGTGTTCACTTGAGCCCCGAGACAGCATCGCACTGGCGGTCAGCCCGACATTGTTTATTTTTCCCGGTGTCTCATATATGTGACATAATTAGAGCAAAAAAAACATTTGAATGTTATCATTGTAATACTCTTCCATACTAAATACTGGCTATTCATAAATCAGGCCAAATATTGCTAAAGTTATTAGTCCTCACACAATAACATCATCCCTGTGTTCACTTGACCAAATCACAATGTGCCATGCATGGCAAAATCAACTGAACAGTCCTAACTAACAACAAAAAATTTCACAAGGTGTTGTTGCATAGGGGGAAGGGTTTCAGGTAGTTTGCTTTGCCTTACTGCTCATTTGTCATAACCAAAATGGCCACCACTTTAGAGCTTGAAAAGTTTACCTGTCCTGAACTACAATGCATGTTATATTTTACCTTTCTATCTATGTTTGTCTCTAATGTGTGTGTAATATAAGAAATAATTTCAATCAGTTTACAGCCCCTTTGACATCCTCAATCAGAAAAGTAAGTCATGTTAGTCTCAACAAGTCTTCATGATGTCTTCTGTGCAAGGACAGTTTGTTAACTATAATCAACTGGTAGTGCATTGTGCAGGGAAAGCATTCACTGTTTTTTTGTGCTAGAGCAAAATGCACCGTGTAAAAAAGTCAAGTGAACACCATGCCATTATCACAACACACAGTATAAAAATGGTCAGATTTTCACAATACAATTTTGTCTTAATCCACTAACACCGTTATATTTATAAGTCGAAAATAAAAGTTTCCGGGTGGCTAAAAAAACCGGCACATGGGGCTGGCCTGTACTCTGCCCAAGTGCTGGACATGGCCCGCTGCTGAGTCGGAGCACGAGCCCCGATACAGTGTTACACTGGCATGACGCCCGTCAATTTTCTTCCCCAGGGTGTCTCATATGTGGGACACCCGTTGAAAATGGGTTAATAAATGCTGAAAATCAGAAATTGAGATACATACTTGGAATCTGACTTCAAATACTTCAACCAATAACTGCTTTTATTAAAGTTTACTGAACCCAATGAATGGCATGACATGCATGCCATGTCCAAAGTAATTTTAGTTCATTAACTGTGTTTACCTATAGATGGGTCCACAAGTGTTTCATCACCAAGGATTCCAATTACTAGCCCTTCTTATCTCACCTATTTACCCTTCTCCTTGATTTTTGGAAATTCTATTTCATTTCTTATCATTATTAACATTTTAACAAGATTCTTGCAAGCTGAAGGAATTTAAGACCTTTTTAAGATAATAACTGTAACAATATGATAGTAAAAAAAAAAAAAAAACAGGGCTTGGAGAAATCAGGTGAGGTCATGTAGGGCCTACAACTTTGACTCCTTAGTGGTTGAGCACTTGTGGAGCCACTAGCATGCAACAAAGTTCACAAATAATTACAGTGGAAAGTAAATTTACTAATGGGTAAAAGGCATCACAAACAAAAACCTAAAGAGCAGACAACTATCAGTACACTTGTAGGAGGGAAATAAAAGTTTCTCAAGACAAAACAAATATGCAACTATAAAACCCTCACATCATTTAGTATGTACAATCACATCAGTTCAGCAGTTCAATTACCTCTGTTAAGTAATACAAAAAAGGGTCATTGTACAAAGCAGTTTCTACAAATAACTACCTGACAAGTGAATCATAGTGTCATTCACACAGGAACTGCCACTAGATGTGCGTGCTAAAAAGAGGTTTGGAATATTTTTGTGCTCCGTAAAGATGTAAAGAGTTAGTGGCTTCTCCCTGTACAGAAATAAGAAGTAATTAGTGTATTAGATTAACTTTCAACTTGTTACAATATGCACTGTTGGGTAAAAATAAAAATTAAAGGTTAAAGAACAGTGAAATAAATATTTTCATAATGAAAATACCATGATTCTCCTGATTCTTCTTGCTATATATAAGCCCATATCTGTTGTTTATTTCTGCATTAATGAACATATAAACCATAAAAAAGAATAAGTAAATACTTATTTTCCTTGCAACACCTTCCAATGATTTGACTGCTGGTAAAGTAATATCCTACATATTAATGCCCCATCATTTAGAGAACAAGAAAAAGAAATATACATAATAATGTATATTATTATAATACATAAGTTAACCCATCGCCAACGGGTAAAAATTTTGGCAAGTGGACGTAAGCACGGGCTTGTTGGCGCGCATCGGCAGTTTCCCCTTTTTGCGCCCGGCTCGATCGGTAGTTTGCGAGCAACATTTAGCACCTAAAAGCTTTTATTTTGCTAAAATTTATAAAAATATTTAAATTTTGAAAGTTTATCTTCATTATAGGTGCCATTGCCTAAAATCTTTACCATATAAATGAAGCCGCTACTATTGGAGAAAAACAACCTCTGTCCAATGAGCCAGTGGCGCGGGAATGGGCATGACATGATGCCCCCCGGCATTCGGTCCACAACAGCCATGGCATGTACGTACGTGCCACCCAACGGCAATGGGTTAACATCAATCCTGTCCCATTTTCAGTTAGCTTTGTAAGGAAATGTGACATAATTCTATCAGCAAATCACCACCTGAAATAATATATAACCTATAATGGTTTTAGTATTAGAAATTTTAGTTAGAACTTCATGCCTCCCACCACCGTGAAACAAAACACAAAGACACAACTCACTCGAGAAATGAACTATGCAATCATTAACACATATAGATCCTGTTGGAACCTCCTTTGTAATAGCATTCCTTGTTTTTGAGTCTGTGGTGAATATATAGCAGCAAAGGGGATGCTCTCTGTGGGGGAAAATTAATCAGCTGATCATAGCTACCTCTATCAATCCATAGTCCTGAAATTACCATTTATATTCTATAATTCTTAAAGAATTCATGTTTCCTCCAGCTTGGCTCAAAAGATACATGGATATAAATATAAACTTATAAACCCAACTTGGTTAGCTCTTAGAGTACAGAGAGATCATGAGCATTTTTTAATTCAAGAAAGAAAATAAAAAATAAAAATAATAATAATAAAGTTGTACCATTCTCATAAATCAAAAGGGAGATATGCATTAAAAGAGAAAGAGGAGGAGAGAGGAAGAGAGAGAGATAGATAAAGAGAGTGCAAGGGAGAGGGAGGGAGGAAGGGAAGGGAGGGGATGGGAGG